AGCAGTTACACCTTGCATGCAAAGTGTCTTTCGAAAGAGGGGCTGACTTCCAAAACGTATCAATACAATGTTTGGAAACTGTTATACTGCGGTATTCAAACTGTTTGTATATGCAGAATTGCGACACATTGCACCATATGCATTGAATATTTTAAATATTCAATATAGCAATGACCAATTTTTCTGAATTTTCCATTTCTAAAACACCAATGCTAACCAATAACAAACGAAGCATCAACTTTGTTTCTGATGCGCTGATTGCTCCAGCGATGCGTTTCGATAACTTTTCGGCTGCGTTTTGGAACAGTATACATTGTCAATATTTTGTAGTTCGACGTTATGGAACCTTATACTTTGTACGTATGCAAAGCAATTGACGTTTTGGAAGTTAGCCAGGTTCTTTATTTCCGAAAGGCGAATTGCAGGAAAAATTTCTGAAATCGCTTTCTGGCTGTTCACACAGCGAATGAGTTTCTGGCAATCCTTCTCGATACTAAAATGCAACCATGGGCGGAGGGGTTGCCGTTTGTTTTCTATTTCTCTTGTAAAAGCGAGAACGAAAACACGAAAAATGAATACTCGACGTAAGCTGCTGTTGAAAAAGAAAGCAATTTTATTAAAAATTATTGCCATTATTATTAAAAAAATAGAAGTGGATGATTCGCGTACACGCCGGTCTGTTTGGGTAAGAAAATTTTGGAGCGCGGAGCAAACAACCCATACTAAACAACGTTGATGAATGATCATTACCCCATGGTGAAATTATAAATAGCTGGATACTCTTATAATTCAAGCCAGCACCAACAATGCTCGCAATCCCGTAAACCCAAAAATAAGCAACAATCAAAACCCCAAAATATAGGTTGTAATAAAAACTGCTAGTACAGCACGAGCAAGTTGAAATACACATATTTCCGAAATCGATTTTCGTTCTTTCAGTTGCAGTCACACCCATGATACAATAATTTTTAGAAGGTAGTTTCACTTCAAAATTTTTGACATAAACCGTGTCTGTGACAAACACGCAATGTGGCCACTGCTACGATATAGAACTTGGGGATTATCGCTTGTTCTTTTAGATATTTTTTAACAGAACATGTAAAGATTTATATGTTTCATAACTGATCACTTAATTTTTAATAGAAATATACGTATTTTGTACATACATTTTTGCCACTGCTAATCACATGAATAAAAATCATAAAAATGAAAATATAACAGCAATATTTCTTGTTTATAATGGATTAGATCCATCGCACACCACGGACTTTATCGGCCGCCAATTTAGATGTGCTCGCTAGTCTTTCCATTGCACCACAACTTATTGGTCAGAGCGATTAAGCTGGTGTAATGTGCGCACCTCCATACATCTTCATGTACATATTTCAAGCGAGCCCTATCATTTAAATAGGCGGCCGATAAAGTCTGTGGTGTGCGGTGGCTCTTATAGCTGTGTCCTTACATCTATTCCGTGTGTTGCAATATCCACGAAAGCAGCAGTTAATTTTTTATGAAGAAAATTATTACAAAATATTCGAAAATTTCCCTACTTATATGTTTGGCTTTTCTTTGTTTTATTTTTCCAACGTCAAAAGCTGGATTTTTTTTTTTGAAAAAGTTGGTACAACAAAAAATACGAAACACGTTTTCTGTCAGATAGCTAACATGGCGGATAAGAAGAAGAAGTGAAACTACCTTCTAAAAATTATTGTATCATGGTCACACCTTCCAACTTTTATTGCTGAAACTGATTTCCGAAAAGTGACAGAAAGATCTTTCTGGCTGTTCACACGTCGAAATAAAATTTCTCTTTCTCAATTTGACAGCGAATTGCGTGCGAAAGACGGAAATATTGCCACGTCTGAAAACAAACAAGACATTTTCAAGGAATCTTTAGTTTGAACTTGGAAATATTTGAAGATTGTTGCCACCCTTAAAAAATTTTATTCAAATTATTTAATAAGTTAAATGAATTATTAAAAGATGGGCATGTTTCCAAGAGAGTTACCACGTGTTTAGAAAATGAAATTCAATTTATTTCATCAGTTAAAAAAGATTTAAAAAGATTTTAGTTTGAAAATTCCTTTAAAGAGAGTTGCCACCTGATTGAAAGTCGAATTTGTTTATCTTATACATAACTTATATGAAATATGTGTTCAAATATGGTTTTCAAACGAAAGAGTGTTAATATATCGAGCCCTAACCGCCAAAATAACGTAAGCGACATTTTTTTCAAAATTTTCTCTTAGATGCAGAAATGCATCTAGGTGCCCTAGAAATATTTCTGCATCAAAAAGAAAATTTTGAAAAAAATGTCGCTTACGTTATTTTGGCGGTTAGGGCTCGATATCTTGAATTTACTTTGAACATTTAGAATATTTTTCAATATTTCAATTCAAATCATTTAATAAGTTTAAAAATTAGTTACTCAAATCGCGTACTGGTGTATAACTTGGTGTAAATTTACGAGTTTCGGTATAAATCTGATTAATTGTACCAAAATTCACAAATTTACACAAAGTTATACACCAGTGTGCTACTTGAGTAGGAGATGGGTGTTAATTAAACTGAGTTTAAAACGGATTAATCTCTGAACTGTATAGAGGAGAGTTGCCATATGTTTAAAAATCACAAGCAACTTAATTTATCAGTTAATTGCAATATGTGTCCGAATGTCAAACGAAAGCGATTTCAAACAAATTTAGTTGGAAATTACTTTTAAAGAGATTTACCACCTATTTGAAAATCGAGTTTGTTTAACTTATAAATACACAAGTTAAACGAAATATTAAAATATGAGTATCCAGCCGTCTTTAGTAAGAAAATTTTATTCATTAGGGTTGCCACTATTTCGAAGAGTATAACTATGTATGTACATATGTACATATCGTCGTTTAAAGTACAAAACCGCCTATCGTGGTTTCGCAAAACCTCGTAACTAACAGTTGTGCCAAAGATATTTGCTCACCAGAAGCTCTTATCCATTCATACTAAAATATCAATACTTACAGGCAGGCCCGTCGAGAGGGAGGGGGAAAAGACTTACGTTACAAATAGTTTTGCACCGCAAATACATGGATAATGAAGAGTATAGGAAACTGCTTTGTTGGTGTCTCAGGATCAAGTGAATTTTCATGTTTGAGAGAAGGAGATTCGTGTAAATATTTATATTGTCTGATACCTCAGAATATGTATGACCCAGATATAATCAAAAATCTGCGAAACCTGAAAAAAAGTTCCCCTCGGTTTTGTTTTCGATGATTTGGGCCTCATGCTTTTAAATTAATGCAAATTTATATAGGGGCCCGTGATTTTTTAGTCCCGGCCCCGAGTTTTCTCTCGACGGCCCTGCTTACAGGCCCACCTAATATTCACGCACGCCGGCAATTTACTGCCAAAACTTTCTCATGCACATACAACTTATATGGGACTAACCGAAATTGGACCGCGTGCGTAAAAAGCTAACTCAAATTCCACGATTTGTCTTGCGTGACATTTCGATTTGACGTTTATGTTCAATTGATACTTTGGCGCGACTATGAACTTAAATTTGCTCAACCAACTTATGTAAATTTGACAGAAACGACACTCTGAGAAATCACGCACGCAAATTGTTTTCAGTTTATCAGTAAATCAAAAACTAGGTTGAGCTATTTGGTATATGACGAAGAGATATTTAGGGATAAAAGAGAGAACCGTTTGGAAATAAGACAAGGCAGCCTTTCATAGAAAGTTTTGCATTTTCTTGACGCCCGGTTTTGTACTATAAACGACGATATAGAAATATATAACACGAGAAGGCATTTTTGAAGGTCGTAGGATCTCCACCGTTATTACGCATTTCGAAAATGGGATATCAAATTAAAGAACTGGGCCTGTAGATGTTTTCTTTTTTGAAGTTACAACTTTTTTTAGCAATATAATAATAATAATAGATTGGCGCTTACACATATGTTAGTGTTGGGCCCAGCTTCTCCTCCGATTTGTGGCGTGCGCCTTTATGTTGCCACACAAAGCGGAGGGACCTACAGTTTTACGCCGACTCCGAACGGCGATTGTATTTTTATGAGAAGCAGTTTTTCATGGCAGAAATACACTCGGAGGTTTGCCATTGCCTGCCGAGGGACGACCGCTGTTAAGAAAAAACCTTTTTTCTATATTTTTTTGCGATGTTGCTTTGACCAGGGTTTGAACCCAGGCGTTGCGGAGTGGAAGCGCGCACTGCTTACCACTACACCACAGCGACAATATAGGGTCATAGCAATTCGGTGAAATCAAACACGGACACCGTGCTCGAGATCTCTCTTCAGTCGAAAACGGCTGGGTGGGATTGGATGAAACATCTGAATGGGGTTGCCATCTGTTTTAAAAGTAGAGGCTTTTATTTTGGCCTAACAAATGTTATTAAATTATAAAAAAATATATATAAATAGGTGGTAACCTTCGTTGATATATTTCTGTTTGAAAGCTATTTCAGTCCTATTTCATTTGATACCAAACTTGTTTAATTGGAGAAGGGGTTTGTTTATTTTTACGAAAGCACTTTTATTTTGGCCTAACAAATGTTATCAAATTAAAAAAATATATAGAAATATGTGGCAACCTTCGTTCAGATATTTCTTTTTGAAAGATTTTCAGTCCTCTTTCATTTGATACCACACTTGTTTAATTTGGAAAAGTGGTTTGTTTATTATTACGAAAGAACTTTTATTTCGGACTTAAAAAATATTTGGCAAAGTTTAGCAGATATTACTGGCCTAAAAAAATTAAATTCCGGATTTTTCAGTTATTGTTGGACTTTTCCACAAAAAGTTCGAAAAATAAAAGCAATCCCGGATTTTGGTCCAGGAAGTCCTGGGATCGAAGGCATATTGATAACTTTACATTAAGACATTATTTTGCCCCGGACTTTTATAACATCTAAGAAAAATTGGCCCCTGGAAAGTCCAATAAGTTGTTTTTCAAAAAGACCCCAGCATTTTGTTAACAGAATTTTTGAATTTTGTATGTACTTAATTACTATGTTATACATAAATATTTACTTTTTACAAAGAGAAAGCGATTGAGATTAAAAACAATTACTTTATAATTTATTTCATATAAATTAATTAACTAATAACAATTATCTGTTTTATATCACTGTTCAACAGCATTTTTTTCAGAGTAACAATGGTATATTTCTGAAAGAAGTAATCATGTTGATAATTGTTGGAGGACTAAGTTATAGTGTAGTGTGGGCATTCATATCGCTAGCTTAGAGTGCAAGTTTGCTAAGTCCATTTGTAGAAAATTTACAGGGGAGGAAAAAGAACTTTTCAAAACATTTCCGTCAAGAATTTTGCAGAACGTTCCGTTGCAAATTAAAATATTTAGAATTTTTTGTGAGTTTTTGATTTTTCTGTGCCTCTTTTAGACTTAGCAAATTTGCCTTTAATTGAATATAAACGGGAAGAAATAAAACAAGCACATTAGTTTATGCTTTTGGAGACGTTGCGTTTTTAATTTATGTTGCTTCCTATATCCAAATATAAGTTTTCACAAAAAGTGTACTTAGCAACTTTTCACTTCAAGCTATAGGTATTTTAATGGGACGATAGTGGGTCTTTCTTTGTAGGACTTTATTTTTATTCGCAGCCAAACTACCAAACATTTTTAGCTATCCACATTAATAATTAGATTNTCGGGCGATTTTTTTCCTCCACATGTACTCAAACATCATATCCGCAAAGTTTTGTGGATTATTATAGTTATCCTTTGTAAAAAATCTTTTTAATACACGCCATTGCGACTCAATCCGTTGCGTGTGGGTACCGTCTTCTGCTACAAAGGGATTATCGGGATCGCTGTGGTTAACTTTCCGGTGANATTTTTTAAATTTATAATGTATTTTTACTAAATTAAGTAAGTTTTAACAATTATCACGCACTTATATATGTATACGCACATTGTGAATACAGAACTGTTGATTCAACCAGAGTTTCACACTGACATTATNGCGAATATCCTCGCTGCCGTCCTCCAGCATTCCAAGGACCCAATGCCCTTCCACTCTCCTGCCTGAAAAAGAAAATCATTTAGTCGAAGGGTATTTTTCAATATAGATTTATGTTACCTTTATTGTATTTTCGCTTTCCAAACTTACTCTCGTCAATTTGGACAATTTTACCAGGGCCCCCAATTTTCCCCAAAACTTCCTGCTGATCGATTTCGTACAATACTACTGCCTCACGGCAATAGTTGTACCAATCGCAGATGGTAGCGCTGGATAAAATGGATCCCTCGATAAAATTCTCCTTCCTGACGAGAGCCTGCGGCCAGTGCGAAGCATATGTATACATAAGATAAAAAATATGTGGAAGCGATATCTTCGCATTTTCAAACCACGTCCCAGCGGCCCTTGCAGTGGCAACCCTAGAACGGCAGACCCCTTTGCGGCATCGGAAAATGCCGACGGTATTGTTTCCCGCGGTTGACACAAGCATCGGTGCCTTATGGATGCGACACAACTTATTACGTAATATAAGGCCCTGTTCCTCGGCAAATTCAATACACTTCTCCCGCGTATCCAATCTTTTATAAATTTTGACTAGGTTCCACATATTTTCTACTTCAGCCACGGTCAGCACATTGGCATTCCGCGCACTAACACCACGGCTGGTGGAAGGTACATCAAAATCTATAAATATAGTAGTAATTATATCTGTGTATGAACATAAAGNAAAATATGGTTTAAAAAAACATATTTATTTATTAGATGTGTGGTGTTATTTTGTTAGATGTGGCAGCACCCTTCTAATGTCAGTGTGAAACCATGGTTGAATCAACAGTTCTGTATTCACAATGTGCGTATACATATATAAGTGCGTGATAATTGTTAAAACTTACTTAATTTAGTAAAAATACATTATAAATTTAAAAAATATGTTTACATTTCATTGTGCGGGCTTTTAATGCAACTATTTTGCCGAAGTGTGTACATAAATAAAGTGTTTATTGTGTGAAATAGCGTCGAGAGGTTAGTTCAATTTACTAACTTTAACAACAAATAACTTAAAAACTATAAGTCTTCTGCGGCTAAAAGTATATATATTTACAATCAGGAGAACTCCCTCTATCGTTCCATACCCTCCTTAATGCCGAACTCCGGGGATGCAAAACTAAATTGCAGCCGTTGTATTTACTGGTATCGTTTTGTCCCTAATTCTTATTAATCTGAGCAGCAGAACTGAAACGGTGGGATACGGTTTTCTATAAGATTATACAGCTGCTGGCATTTGCTGATGACATTGACATCATCGGCTTCTCAACAACGGCCCGTTAGTTCTGTCTCTTCTAAACTAGATACAGAAGCCAGACGAATGGGTATGTATGCGGACGAGGACAAATAAGGAGCCGGCGACTTCACGCATTGGTACCCACGCCAATTTTGGCAGTTATAGTTTCGAAAATCTAGATGACCTTTTCTAACTCGAGCCAGTCTTGAAATTTAGTGAATAATCACTCTTGGCAACAACTGCTACTTTGGACTAAGTGGACAACTGAAAAGTGTAATCCGATCTTAACGAATAAACCGCACATTCTATAAATCGCTGATCACTCCAGTCCAACCACATGGCGCAGAAGCATGGACGATGACAAAATCCGACGAAACAGCCCTTGCAGTCTTCGAGATAAAAGTGCTCGGAAATATATGCACGTCCAGCGATTCAAAAAAGAACAGAAGAAAATAAGCCTGCGCCTACAGGGCTGCTGTGGTGTCTTCCAAGCTTAATTAGCAAGTGAATAAGTGGCTGCCCTTTGATACAATAATTCTTTTTTGACAGAACGATCGAATACCGATAACCCTGACAGCCAGACTGCTATTAAAACTCTAAAATGCAACAATACCTCTTCAAAGGTAGAAATTCAACGCAGAATTGTTCTAAATGATCTGATTACGCGATGCATCGCGGGCGAGCTGGCAAGAAAGGGAACTACCCCTGAGTTCAGAAATGCATCAAGCTAAAGCATTCTCAACTATAAATAATTGATAGAAATACTTTATTTTCGCGAATAAGTTCCCATTCGGCATTTAACCGTGGTTGCGCATACAGTATTCCCAGCTTAATTAATAATAATAATAGATTGGTGTTTACACATAGTATGTTAGTGTTTTGACGAGCTTCTCCTCCGATTTGCGGTGTGCGCCTTGATCTCGTCACAGAAAGGTGAGGGACCTACAGTTTTACGCCGACTACGAACGACGATTGTATTTTTATGAGAAGCTGTTTTTCATGGCAGAAATACACTCGGAGGTTTGCCATTGCCGGGCCAGCTAAATTGGCCCCCAGTTAATTGGTTTCCCCGATGAATTGGTTAAAAAATCGGAGAGAGATTGACCTTAAATTTTTTCCGCTGAATTAATTCCCCGGCTAATTGTACCAAAAAATGTGTAACCTTTAAAGTGCAATTAAGCGGGGAATACTTTATTGGATCAATCATAGGGCCTGTGACAATCGGTAACTTTTTTCTCCGTAGTGAGACAGGGTGGAAAAATTTGCAATTTGCAAATGCAAAGTAAAATTTTGGCAAACGCTCGTGTGAAAGCTCTATTTTTGTGTATTGCTGAAATCGTTAAAATTTATCTTTATTTTATAACTTGCAAGTAACGTACGCTTTTTGTGCTATTTCAGCCTTTATTTTTATGTTCACTCTTTATCACCGCCAAGCAATATTATGTGTAGACATGTTTATAAGCTGTCAGAATTTTACCTAGCCCCATGAGCTAGATAAAATTGTAACGTTCGTATTCACCGCGAGAAATGTCAAGTTTTTACTTTGATCCGTCACAATTTCCTCTTTTCTACCAATTGGCACAGGCCCATAGTGTAGATTTAATGAGACTGAAGCTGATCCCAGATAAAGCTTTGTGGCTTTGCGTGATATTTATAACTTTGCCAGCAAAGCGCCAGACGCAAAAAGTATGACACAATGAACGCCAAGAAAACAATTTTGAACTGCTTTTTACTCGTCAAAATTGCTGTGGATTTTATATATTTAGATTTAAAAATATCATCAAAGTAATTAAATTTTATGTTTCTGCATGAAAACTCGAATTTGGACGAAACAAAATAAATATTAAATCGGCCGATTGTCAACGCGCGGAAAAAGATGAGAGTTGGCCATTTTTCGCTTTGCGCTGCAGCTGCAAAGATCTATGTGGCATGCTTTGTGCATTTTCATACAATTCATCTTATCTCTCAAAGCGAATCTGTCACGTAAAGCGAAGCAATAGTTTTATCTGACTTCAGCTTGATGCCTTTGGCTTGATGCGTTTCCCATAAAATCTGCCCAAAATCCGGATACCTCACTCTCACCAAAACACCAGGTCGTAAGAAGGACAAAGTAGACCTTTGAAAAAATAAATTAGGTCAAAGGACAGTAGCCTAATAAATGATTCTCCTTCGAAATAAAATACAGCTTGTCACCGTATATACATACATTTGTGCGAAATATGCGTGGAATGTGATTATGTAAAATTGCGACCTGTTAACTATTTCTACACATGTTTGGGGTAATGCAACATAGACATACATAGATAGACTCAGCCAAGCTAAACAGTAGGAACGTATGCAAATCTTGCAACCTTAAATCTATATACATACATACATATTTATGCATATACATATACATATGTAATAACTTAGGATTGTGGGCAAGTTGGGTATTTAATGCTAGTGCGTTTCAAAACATTCACTTCCTTGGCTTATATATATTCAATGAACGTATAAAATTAGTTTAGATTTTGTTATCTTCAAAATTTTCAATATTAATTTTGTAAAAGCAAACATTATTATTTACTCATCCCATAGCGAAGTAAATATGTACATATATTAATCTTTCAATGTTATTGTGTGGCAGATATTTTATTAGGAGCAAATTTAATTTAGACAAATAACGAAGACTTCGATAATATACATAAGTATTTATATGTATATACATATTTTTTTTTTTTTTTTTGCCTACTGCGTT